TGTTCCTTCCAACACAGATACTGGTCTTCTCTCCGAAACTTGGTGATTTCTCTCCTTAGTAGCATGCGTTCCATCATCAGTCTTCTCTTCTTGCTCTTCCTTTTCATCCTTATCTTCGCTCTCCTAGGGATGCAACTATTTGGAGGGGCGTAAGTTAATGTTTCAAGTTTTTTTAAACAAAATGTAGTTTCAGTTCACATTACAAAATGAGGCGTCACTCAAAAATGTGTTGTTGAATTTCCTCGTTATTTTTTTTGTAGTTTAAATCAATAAGTTACAATGGCTTCATTCATTCTCAAAGATAAACTACGTTTTGGATGACTCAGTTTTATGTGACGAAATAAAGAAAAACCTTCAAAATATCTGAAAATAATAATGCAAAAGCATGTTTTTAGCACTATAACGTTATAATTCAACGTAATATAAAAGTGTTATGTGCACTTTCCTAGTCGGTTAATCCATCTGAAAATCATAATTTTGATATTTTAATGTGCTTCTCTCGTCTTTTTTATATATAAAGGTCAAGCCTACTAGAATTACAGTAAAATATGCTATTAGGCAAATAATACGATGTTCGTATATATTATCCTGCTTTAATATATTTTAATTAATTCCTTCCAGTCAAATATAGCGCCATCTATCATAAAATATTGAAACCTTATTACAAACGCCTCATTATGTTCATTTTCATTGTTTTAAAATATTAAAAATAATTACATTTATGTATATATATATATATTATTGAAGCAGGCTGTTTTCTGTAATGTTAGTTTCACTTATTAAATATCGTAAAATATACAGACATTTCGAGAAAATCAAATTAGATTGTTATCAAGTCATCGGAATCAACATACAATATTTACTACCGGTTAGTGTCATTTCAACACAATAACATACATATACCATTGATGTTACAACAGTGGCTCATTTTAACCTAATGGTATGTATATACTAAGCACTACTGTTTTCACAGTATGGTGGCTCATTTCAAACCAATAACGTGCTTAATGTTAAAAACTATTTCATTGAAATTATTCATTACTAATTAGGATGAAAATTAAGATATTAAGTTATTTAGGAGAATTTGCCTTACCTTTCTCCCGTATCCTGATAACAAAATTCGGAAAATGAACCATGTATTATTATACAGAAATGCAGTTTGTAAAGTAACAAATTTCTGATGAAGCACCGATTTCATTCTGTTTTTCTTTATATTATCACTACTACACGTGCCTGTATTATTTCTGACTGTTAACATAAATCATCAGAATCCTTGACACCCAACTAACAAATATTGATGAATTATCAGTTTTAAGTTATTGATTTTTTTTAGGGGATTATTGTAATTGTCTCCTGAAGTAACTGAATGTTCAAATTACTAGTGTGTTCTGGGTAGTGCGTGTGTGTGTGAAGTACGTTTCCTTTTCAGCTTCAACTTTCCTGATGGCACTCCATCCGCCAATTTCAACACTTTTCCTATCGCCCTCCTCACTGTATTTCAAGTAAGGCTTGCTGATATTGATCGATAAGTTTTTCACTCTACTGCTGTTAGAATATATTTGTTGAGATTTTAACAGTTGTGTAGTATATTTTTATAATATTGTCTGTTACCTCCAAGTTCCAGCTGAAACTTCGTTATTGTGATTCAAATATTTAGGCTAGACCAACATTAATAATTTCTGCTTGAGCTCTGTTATTGTGATTCCAAATATTTCAGCTAGGCCTACCTCAGAATTTCTGCTTAAGTTCCGTTATTATGATTCCAAATATTTCAGCTAAGCCTACCTTAAAATTTCTGCTAAAACTCCATAATTGTGATTCAAAATATTTCAGCTAAGCCTACCTTAACATTTCTGCTAAAACTCCATAATTGTGATTCAAAATATTTCAGCTTGGACTACCTTAAAATTTCTGCTAAAACTCTGTTATTGTCATTCAAATATTTTAGTTAAGACTTTTACGCAGGCTAAAATGACGCAGCTAGTATTTCATTTCTATTATCAACAACAATGTAAAATAAAAGAAGTGTGTTTTACCTTTCTAAAAATTGTTTAAGTACAGATGATTATCACCGTTGCCATATTTTTGTGAAATAATGAATTGAGATCTACATCCCAACAGTCAGATATTTTTTTAATCTATAAAGAATTAAAACAAACAACACTGACTCGATCGTTTCGAATTAACTGAGAATCGCTATAGTTTTATTTATTTTCCAACAATCTTCGGTGCCATTTCTTGCCATAATTTTGTTCAAAGTTTACTGTTCGTTCACCTGTAGATCCTTACGGGCGAAGACTGGAATGAAGTCATGTACCGAGGAATCGAATCGCAAGGAGGGATCCAAGGAGGGATGATCTATTGTTTGTACTTTATCATCCTAGTTCTCTTTGGAAACTGTATCCTTCACATATGAAACACTGTGGAAGGAGTTTAATAGCTAGGTGTTGAAAGAGGGTAAAAGAAAGCACCCCTACCACCACTTCTTTGGCCACTACTTCTTAATACAAAGTCACCCTGACCATCACACAGTGTATACCATGTTTTAAGTATATACATATTGAGTTCTTAAACCTTATACAAAACCTTTGGTGAGGTAATAATGAATAATGTAATGATATGTTATGTTATAAATACATTGTGTGAAAGTTCGGATTTTTGTGTTATTTATCATAGCATCCACCCACACATTTTTTTAAAGTTCATAACCCGGATAAAGGACGGATACCCCAGCTTGTCTTACACAAAGGAAAGAAGGTGGAAAACGCGCAATCAAATACACGTGACACACATGCGCGTGAACAACGAGTAGTTCGTCAATTTAACCTACTTCACACCGTAAAAGTTGTTCCCTCTCACCACAATCAGTACACAGCGTCTCAACCACTATTATGTCAGTCGTATCGTCGGCACTAGGTATAGCAAATATGGCGTGGTTGATATATCGCTCTTCTCTACTTTCATGCTGATGTTCTCAGTAATAATAGCTTAAAAATAAAGACACCAGAGAAAGTGCAGGCACCACCTTACACAAATATACATATATTTATTTAGGAAAGAAAGGAACACAGGGAAAAAGAAACTCTTCACCACGCATCATGCTATATTTTGTGAACAGACTTCAGGATTAATTAATTGACGGTCATTGGTCGCAGAAGTGCCTTACGGGCTGAAGTTGAAAGGTCATGGAACAAAGTAGGAAGTGTGTATAGCTCAAAAAACGGTTTTTCGTATCAGCCTTTTGGTAGCTGTTGGAATAGAAGCTTCAGCAGAGTTTATATAGCACTTACAATAGTGGCGGCCATTTTTTTATTACATTCCTCCATAGGCAGAGTCTACGTAGCACCCACAATAGTGGCGGCCAATTTTTTTATTACATTCCTCCATAGGCAGAGTCTACGTAGCACCCACAATAGTGGCGGCCATTTTTTTTATTACATTCCTCCATAGGCAGAGTCTATGTAGCACTTACAATAGTGGCGGCCATTTTTTATTACATTCCTCCATAGGCAGTCTATATAGCACTTACAATAGTGGTGGCCATTTTTTTATTACATTCCTCCATAGGCGGACTCTATGTAGCACTTACAATAGTGGCGGCCATTTTTTTATTACATTCCTCCATAGGCAGAGTCTATGTAGCACTTACAATAGTGGCGGCCATTTTTTTATTACATTCCTCCATAGGCGGACTCTATGTAGCACTTACAATAGTGGCGGCCATTTTTTATTACATTCCTCCATAGGCGGATCTATGTAGCACTTACAATAGTGGCGGCCATTTTTTATTACATTCCTCCATAGGCAGAGTCTATGTAGCACTTACAATAGTGGCGGCCATTTTTGTTTCATTACATTTCTCCATAGAAAGTGCTAGTGCACTCTCTGAGATATATAAGTCGTTTATGCGTCCTTCCCTGCTCTGTGTGTATGTTGTTTTATGGAAAATTTAATAGTTATTTTGTTTTTGGTGTAAGGACATGACGCCATCTACGAATGTAGTTAACGTTAACTTACGTCAAAGATAATATATGCTGAATAACAGCAATAACGGGGGTGGAGGGGTTTGTGAATCTCCCATTAACATACCCCTTATTCCAAGCAATCATCCCACAAAGTTTGTTTGAAATTGGTTTAGTGACCTAGGAGTAGTTAAATAACGGACAAACAGACAGACCCAGATATTTATGTGTTATATATATATAGATGAATGTGTCGTTAGATATTTTTTTACTAAACTATAGACACCCTTCTAAACGTATTTCTTGCCATCGCTGTCGACAACCTGGCCAATGCTCAAGAACTCACTGCCGCTGAGGAGGAAGAGGACAAGGAGGTCGGTTACTCAGAATAAAGATTAAAATCTTTACAAAAACACATACAAGTAATTTCGTTCTATACTTTTATGAAACAAGATAATAATTATTATAATTTATTAAATTCAAAAACGACCACTTAAAATATTAAATGTTGAACGACTTTGCACTGCTATTAATATATTGAGCCTGATGCTTCACGTAGGCTAAACAGCCAGGTCGGAGACCTCTAGCGTTCAGGCATAGCCACCCCTAATATCGAACTGTTGACCATAGGGAGAGTGGTCAGTCGGCAGTACCTGCCCTCTATACATCTCATCTTAATGGAATTTACTTAAAATTCGAATCGTGATTAGCTGCTTATCGTGGCTCGAACCTTTGGTTCATAGCCCAACATGCTAACGACCAGATCACAACCGAACTAAATTACTTTACAATATACAATCGCGATCTTAATAACTGTTTAATAAACTGTAAAATAATGATACCAAACTATGTTAACAAAAACCTTTATATCAGTTACGATATACACAGTCTCAGTGTTTTTATAATTATTTTACTGTATTAATCGTAGCGGACAAAAGAGGAATTAGAAAAGGAGGACTTGCGTGGCAGGAACTCGGATCCTCCTCAAGTCAACATCTATCCTCCTTCACCACAGAACAACTCGGATCCTCCTCAAGTCAACATCTATCCTCCTTCACCACAGAACAATTCGGATAGTAGACTCAGACAGTTCACTTAGTAAGTTAAGTTTGTTTTATTCACTTTGCTACTCGTTTAATCAGCAACACGCCTCTCCTACCAGCCTTAAACTTTAACTGTCAGGATAATTTGTTGTTATTGGTGTAGTTACATGTTATTATAATACACTGCGCTCTTCAATTGAACTATTAATAGTTTTGTTTGTTTGTACTGGTACATTTTTCTCTGTGTTAAAAGTAATAACAAAACTGACGTTTCTTCATCAGTTGTTCTAGCCGACAATTTTCTGTAATACAGTTACCATCGTGAGGGGGTTAAGAACACAGGGTCAGCATGAGTTGAATAATAAAGTAAGCTAGAACTTAAGTACTTCATTGCGCCTAAACAACAACATCGGGTTTGATTTTCTTTTTACTCTTAATATACAATAGTACAGTGTGCCAGAAAATGTATTACTTTTTGTCTATTT